ATGGAACCGAATTGAAGACCCAGATATTAATTTACACACCTACGAACACCTGATTTTTGACAAAGATGCAAAAAATATCAAACGGAAAAAAGAAAGCATATTTAACAAATGATACTGTCATAAGTGGATATCAACATGTAGAAGAATGAAAATAGATCCATATCTATTGTCATGCACAAAACTCAAGTCCAAATGGATCAAAGACCTCAATATAAAGCCAGACACACTAAACCTTATAGAAGAGAAAGTAGGAAGTACACTTGAACGCATTGGCACAGGAGACCACTTCCTAAATAGAACCCCAGCAGCACAGACGCTAAGAGAAACAATTAATAAATGGGACCTCCTGAAACTGAAAAGCTTCTGTAAATCAAAGGACATGGTCAACAAGACAAAACGACAGCCTACAAAATGGGAAAAGATCTTCACCAACCCCACATTGGACAGAGGGCTAATTTCTAAAATATATAAAGAACTCAAGAAATTGGTCATCAAAAAAACAAATAATCCAATAAAAAAAAATGGAGTACAGACCTAAACAGAGAACTCTCAACAGAGGAATCTAAAATGGCTAAAAGACACTTCAGGAAATGCTCAACATCCTTAGCCATCAGAGAAATGCAAATCAAAACAACTCTGAGATTCCATCTTAAACCTGTAAGAATGGCCAGGAGCAAAAACACCGGTGACAACTTATGCTGGAGAAGATGTGGGGTAAAGGGAACACTTCTGCATTGCTGGTGGGAATGCAAGCTGGTAGATGTCAGTGTGGTGATTTCTCAGAAAATAGGAAACAATCTACCTCAAGACCTAGCAATAACCACTTTTGCGTATATACCCAAAGGATGTTCAATTTTTCCACAAGGACTTGTGCTCAGCTATGTTCATAGAAGTATTATTTGTCATAACCAGAACCTGGAATCAACCTAAATGTCCCTCGACCGAAAAATGAATAATAAAAATGTGGTATACTTACACAATGGAGTACCACACAGCAGAAAATAACAGTGACATCTTGAAATTTGCAGGCAAATGGATGGATCTTGGAAACATCATATTGAGCGAGGTAGCCCAGGCCCAGAAAGACAAATATCATAAGTACTCACCCATAAGTAGTTTTTATACATAAAGCAAAGAAAAAACAGCCTACAATTTACAATCCCAGAGAATCGAGACAACACTGAGGACCCTAAGAGAGATATGCATAGATCTTATCTGCATGGGAAGTAGAAAAACACAAGATCTCCTGAGTAAATTGGGAGCATGGAGACCATGGGTGAGAGGAAGGAAGGGGAGCAGAGAAAAATGTATAGCTCAATAAAATCAATCAATTAAAAGAAAAAAGCAGGTTGAGCAACCTATGGGGAGCAAGCTAGTAAGCAGCTCCCCTCCGTGGCCTTGCATCAGCTCCTGCCTCCAGGTTCCCTCTCTGTTTGAGTTCCTTTGATGAACAGTAATGTGGAAGTGTGAGCTAATGAACCTTTTCCTCCCCGGGTTGCTTTGGTCATGGTGTTTCATCACAGCAACAGACCTCTAACTAGGACAAGATGCTTTGCAAGGGCTACAGGGGTGACTCAGTGCTGAGAGCACTTGTTCCCCTCCCAGTGGACTCAAGACAGACAGCTCACAACTGCCTGTAAACAGCCCCAGAGGGTCAGATGCCTTCTCTTGCTTCTGTAGCCATCCACACACGAGGCATACACAGACACAGATACATAAATAAAAGGCACTAGGCCATTGGTGCTATGCAATGAAACTTGCTATTGCAAAAAAATATTAATATCTGAATAAGCAGAAAGCAATTGCCTTCAAGAGTGAAACCTGGAAATGAATATTGTCGAGTCCAAAGGAAACTCCCCTCCCCCCAGTTCTGGTGGTTAGACAAAAGCCAACATTTCTCAAGAATTTGTGAGATGGGTTCCTCTCTAACAAAAGAGCCAGTTCCCGTATCACTGGCAGAAGAGACAAATGTCTAGCTGCGGCCCTCCTAGCACAACAAAGTGCATGCTGGCCTCCTGCTCTCTCAGAGTCACAGGTGCCTAGCTCTTCTCCCTCCTCCCCTCCCAGGAACTTCTCCACAGGAACTTCCCCCACCCCCAGCTACTCCTTTCTCCTTCTCAGCCACTGTTTCCGCTGTCCATCTCTTTTGCCCCTTTCTCTTCCGTCTTCCTATCCTGGTCCTCCTCTGTCATCCCTCTCCCCTCTCCTGGCCAGGCCGAGTATGCTGGCTGTGTTCAGTCTACTACTTTCTCTTCCTGCTCTGGATTCTTATAGATGCTTCTGACTGTACACAGTCTCTGTCTCTCTGTCTCTCTGTCTCTCTGTCTCTCTCTCTCTCTCTCTCTCTCTCTCTCTCTCTCATATACACAATAAAACCTTCCCTTAGCCATACCTTGGAGCAGCCACGTCCTCAGTTTATACAGAATGCTGATACTGAATTTTGCTAGAAAAAAAAACTGGTGGAGGTCGGGAACTGGTAGCTATCAATGATTACTGATAAATCATTTTATATGCCAAGCACTATGTATCATAGGCTTTTTTTAATGATAGCTTTTGATTTTTCAATACAAAATCTAATTTCACAAAGTTAGGCAGCTAACATAATCAGCAGAGCTGAAACTAAAACCTGGTCTGTCTGATGCTAGAAAACCCCTTTTAGCTAGTGGGCCAAGCAATGATTTTTTGGCTTGTCTTCTGAAAGTACAGCATCCCTGCTACTGTGAGGCTCATTTGTGTGAAACCGTCTTGACCAGGAGTTAAACAGCAGAGGAGTTTGCTTTTTTCTGTTATAAGAAGTCTGGGCACAGTGGGTAAGGGTGGGTACACCCCTTTTTCTGTTGAGTGTTCCACCCCTGCTCACCCCAGGAAGAAAACTGAGGAGAGAGGAGGAAGTCTTCCTCAAGAAAGCAAGCCTTACCTGGACTTCCTTCTGCATTTCCTTTCTTCTGCATTCCGTGTCCGGAATTGTGTAGCTGTGTTCTTCCCAGCAACGACACCTGCTGCACTTTAGCTTGGTAAATTGCTTCCCTGGAGGAGAAGTCGAGGTGGGGAATTACTCTCGTAGGCATCTGACAATTCAGACGAGAGCTAGCTGGGACAGAAGCCTCAGATCTCAGTTTCTAGGAGCTTGGAGCACCTGTCCTAATTCATTTCTCCATTTCTGTGACAAAATTCCTGACAGAGTACCTGTGACCAAATAAGCAGGTAGGCTCCTTTTGGCTCAGTCTCCAGGCTACAGCGCATCATGGCCTCGAAGGCAGGAGTCGAGCCAATATGGCCAGGAAAGAGAGAAAGAAAAGCTCAACTCGTTTTTCTCCCTTTCGTTCACTCCCAGACCCCAGTCACCTACATTCAAGGTGGGTCTTCACACCTCGGTGAAGCTTCTTAGAAAATGTCCTCCCAGACACATTCAGAGGTGTGTTTCCATGGCGCCTCTACATCCGATCAAGTTTGCAAGGAAGGTTAACCATCACAACACCCTTCTGAATGAATTTTGTTTGAAGGGAGGCAGAAGAAGCTGGAAGGAGAGAAACTGGGAAGCAATGGGTCTGTCACAGCCTCCACCACCAGCACCCTGAACACGCCCTGGGGAGGGTGCAGTCTGGTAAGTAGCCGTTCTCACACCTCTCCATTGGAAAAGCCTCAGGACAGCATTGATAAGAAATTTGGGCATAGAGGGGGAACAAGGGCATGTGAGGATTCTTGGTAAACTAGGAGCATTTGAAGACCAAGTCTGCCTCCTGGAGCACTGAGTAAGGCTCTATGAAAGCGCAGGCTGGCTCCTCGGAGCTACTTCTTCCAGCCCTGATGTTACCAAGGCACCTCTCCTTCTGGGATCGTACTGGCGGATGTGTTAAGTCTAGCATGTAAGGATGGTGTACACCTAGTTTAGAGAGATGGATGGATGGCCCTGTTTAAAGAACACACTCCACAGATAGTGGCTGTTGTTTTTCTTCTGTCTGTGATCTGCCACTGCACACCTCCTGCATCCTGCCCCAACACAAAAGGATCCCCTAGTCATTTCTGGTGCTCTACCTTCTCTTTGTGTGGCGGGAGGGGAGCACAACCACAGCTTCCCTTGAGTTCATTCACGGCTTCTTTCTTCCAGGATGCCACCTCTGAGATAGGAGGCAGGCACACCCCAGTTCCCCTTACAGACCACATTTAAACCCCCCCGGGGGGGCTTTATTACCCCGTCAGGCCATTTATGAGTTCCTGGCGAGGTCAGTTTAGCCCCCTCGGGAGGGCAAAAGGCCTAGACTATAATCCTGAACTTGGATCTGCTTGAGACAGTGGGAGAAAAGCATGTGGTATTTTAAATAACAAGTCATAAATTCTCAACAAATATTTACTGAATTAACGCTGGCCAGCAAAGGAAAAAACCACAAGGTATATTACTGCAAATTTTGATTTTTTTAAAAAAATAGAATTCATAGTGCACTAAGGCAATTGCTTAGCGGCACAGGCGTCTCAAGTCATGTCGCCTTGGGAACATCCCCATCTGCAGACAATTGCCAAGGGTAAACCTGAGAAACTGACGGCATGATGGGAGCACCTCAGGCTGGGCTTGGGTCCTCAAGGTCTCGCACCAGGGAGGGGTGCAACCTTCTGCTAGCTCTCTTTTCCAGCCTTCCCGGTGTGGCAGCCTTTCGTCGCCTCACCGGCAGGGGACGTCCTACGCAATGTCTAGGGAGTGCGTGCTCACAAGCCAGAGCCTGCTTTTTCCAGTATGAGCCAGATGGGCGATCTCTGCGTGGATTCTGGCAGCTTACCCAGAGCGCTCTTGGCCAGGCTGGACTGAGAGAAAAGAGGAGTGACCAGATTGCTCTGTTAATAACCTGGGACAGGAAGGGGTGGGGTGGGCGGGGCGAGCGGAGGTGAGCTCCGCCCCTTGTGGCTCACCTGGGGCGAGTGGGGCGGAGGTGGGCGGGGCGAGCGAGGGTGGGCGGGGCGAGCGGAGGTGGGAGGCGCGCTGCCCCGCCCCTCGGGCGTCACGAGGTTGGAGGCTTGAAGCTGCTCGCGCTAAGCAGGTGCTGAGGAGCGCCAGCCGAAGTGAGCCCACGACTCTTGGGGGCCACTTGACTGTCGCGTCGCGAGGAGGTTTCACTTCCCGGGACTCGGGGTGGCGCCGCGCCGCGCCTCGCCGCGGTGGGCTTCAGCAGAGTCGAGGTGGACGAGGGGCAGAGTCCCGCGGGCGGCTGGTCCGCACGCCGCGGTTCCCACGCTTCGGCAGCAGAGGGCTGAGGTGGGTGTGTCTCGTTCCTCGCTGGCTTTCTGGCACACGCCAGGGCGCTGCGACTGAACCTTGGGCTCTGCCGGGCGGTTAGTACTGGAGCGCGCCGACTGGCTCGGGACCCGCCCTGGGAGCGCGGGGTTGAAGCTACTTCTGCGGAGGTGGGCGAGCGGTGCCCCCCCCCCCCCACACACACATACACACTCCTGGACTGCAAGGAGAAGGAAACACACCTGCTTCGGCTCCAGCTTGTGCAAATGATCCGATAAGGGCGTTGCTGCTCACGTCCCAGAGGTAAATAACACCCGTGGTTAGAGGACACACGAAGGTGGTATCGCGTGTGCTTTATATTTATGAATATAAATGTAAACATTGACACATATAAACATTGACACCTTGACAGGGCCTATGCCTAGCCTTTCGTTATGAATCAAGTTTTTAAAGTTACTGGAGGTCGACTCCTATGAAAACTGCAGGGGTTGGAAACCTGTTTCGACTGTGTCCTGTGTGGTTTTGGAACGTTCTGGAATTTGAGGAAATGTTTTTAGTTTTAGAAAGGGTATCATACTTACTTTTACGATTTTTTTAAACACTGTGTGCATCTCTCTCTCTCTCTCTCTCGTTCTCTCGTGTGTGTGTGTGTGTGTGTGTGTGTGTGTGTGTGTGGTGTCTCTCTGTTGAGGTAAAAGGACACGTTTTGGGAGTAGTTTCTCCACATGTGATCGTGGTTGAAACTCAATTGTTCTGACTTAATGGCAAAAGCCCTGAACCATGTTGCTGGCTTCATAATTACATTACTTAAAAACTGATTTTTTTTAGGATTACTGACTGAACTTGACATATGGATTGAGAATTTGATTCAGGGTTTGGGGTGCAGGAGTGCACTGGGCCATGAGAGGTTAGCAGCCAAAGATGGATGTTCGGCACGCAAGTCTTGTCTGTTTTAGCATGTGTTGGGTCTTTTAAAAGTTGCCACACTGCTTTTCTCATTTGTTTTCCAGAAAGGAAGTTCAGCACTGTCCAGGTGACTCTAGTTTCAAAGCCTTTCATATATCAATTATTTTTCATAAATTGGATGTAAATACGGCCTCATCAGACTGATCCAAAAAGATCATAGTCTCATCTGCCTTACACAGGCTCACAGGTGTTTCTTAAGTGGATCAAGTTCATGCAGGTGGGTGCTGGCTCAGCTTTTTCTGAACACACACCATTGGCAAACCTGGGGGTTAGGCTGCCTCCAGTCAGGCGGTTTGTATCAAATGTGTTAGCATTTTTTCCCAGTGGCTCAAATCCCCTCTGAGTTATACTCAGCAGAAAGCTAGGCCCGGGCTTTAGGTCTGGCTCAGCAGTAGAGCGCTAGCCTGACAGGATCCAAGGCCTGGGCTGGGTCTCCAGCACCTTCAACTCCCCAAAACAGACCAGAGTAGTGAACTACTCGTGTCCTCTTGGGCTCATGCGCACTTCTGGAACATTCTGTATGTCAGTAGTTTTGTAATGATGAAGACAACATAAGATGAGTGGGGATGTACTTAACCCTTGAAAAGATCTGTATTTTTTTCCATATTTATTCCACTTTGCTCTCAGGATCATGAAACAAACATCCAGCCAAGAACTGACTCCCGCAGTCGCTTGGTCCATGCTGTTCTTTTCTTTTTGTTTGTGTGGAGAGATAGATACATTCATCTAAATTATTTTCCTTCAGATTCTAACCTGTAAGTCTTACCGGGCTCTGTCATACTTGATTGGCAATTTGTGAAAGCGTAGATTCCAAGATGGGACAGTTGAAGTACAGTGGATGAAGACAGGGAAGGCAGACTCTGCAGCAAGAACCCTTCTTCTAAGTAACTTCACTACAGCTGGATTGAATGTTCCTTTGATTTAAGAAGAGACACCAGAGAGAGCTGTGCCTGTGATCGTGGATTGCTGAAGTGTTAGAAAAATCACCCCAAAGGGAAATACGAGTTTATTCTTGAGTCAGGTATGAAGGACCACGGTTTAGGAACACAGATTCAGGCTTCCCAAATAAATGTTCTAATGTGGAAATGGTATCATGATGTTTTTATAGTTAGAGGACAAAAGAAAGTCATAACTTAAGTCACTTAAAAACATGCATTGCAGAAACATCAGTTAGGCAATCGCAGCACAGAGGGGAGAGCCCTGCCTGATGCTGGCTGATAGACCTTAGCTCTGGGGGGATGAAAGTTAGCGATCTACTAAGTTAATACAGTCCAGAGGATTTTACTGAGAGTCACAAGGCCGTTAGGCCAGACAGAATTGGGCAATGAGTGGTTGTTCAGGAGACTAAAGATAACACAAAATGATTTGATCTAGATCTACAGACACCCTAGCTCTCCACAGTCATGGAGTTCTCATCAGCTAAACTGTTCACAGGTATGGTGGGTTTGTGGATGTTTTCTGTTTTGTTTTTCCTTTCTGGGAACTTGGTTCACAGTACCTCAGTAAAATCAGTTGGCATATGGTTCAGTTTTCATTGTATGAATGAAAGAAATATGCAGTGGTTGCCAGGCACTTAGATCCATAAACCCACACTCCCTTAGTTTCCAAGAAAATAGGAAACCAAAGGTGACAGACTCATTTACAGTTTTGCCAAAATGAGGTGAGAGGTCTGTGTGGCTTTTCGCTCCTCTGCTTGTGGCCATCCCACCGTATGGAAGGGTTGGACATAAAGGCTGTAGCGTGTAGACTTTGACCCACACTAAGTTAACAAATCCTTCCTGTTGGGAAGGAGGCCTCGGCCACAGGTTACCTCACTGTCTCTGCATTCTGTTACTTGGCTGATGAATGTTACTTAAGGAGCCCCACTGTTTAAAAAAGAGTTTCAGTGGTTTGGGGTCTGGTGAAGTAACATCATCACCCATTTCAGGCCTGTCAGAATTCTTTGTCAGTAGACCCTATTTCCTTTCTTTTTTCTGTTTTTTTTTTTTTCCAAGACAGGGTTTTTCTGTAGCTTTGGAACCTGTTCTGGAACTAGTTCTTGTAGCCCAGGCTGGCCTCAAACTCACAGAGATCCTCCTGCCTCTGACTCTGGAGTGCTGAGATTAAAGGCATGCGCCACCACTACCCAGCTAGACCTATTTCTTTAAGAGATACAGCATATCCTTTTTAAAAAAAAAAAAACAAACTTTTTTTTTAATCTGCTCATGACAGTTTAAAATCACCCACAAACTAGAAAGAGCAAAGTTCTCTATACAAAGGAAAATATTGATGTACTATATAATATTAATAATATAGATCTCAGGAGCATTATGCTAAGTAGATTAATTAATACAAAAACACCTACATTTAAAAAATAATTTAATTCTTTGAGAGTTTCATATAGTAAGTTTCGATCATGTTCCCCCTTGTCCCGCTCCTCATCGTCACCTCCCTACCCACCCAACTTCTACTTTTTTTTTTAAGCCCATCCTGTCCAATTTATTGCCCAACTCCTCTTGGGTGTGAGCCCTGCCCTGGAATGTGGCTGACCTACCAGGAATCACACAGTTAACCGACTCTCTCTTCCAGCAGCTATCCGATGCCAGCGGCTCTTGGGCTACTGGGTGGGGTTTTATGCCCCCCATTGTCTTGAGCTTCAGCAGTTTTGTGCATGTTGTCACAGATGCTGTGAGTCCGTGTGTTGTTGTCCTGTTGTATTTTGAAAACACTGTGTCTTTGATGTTATCTGCCATCTTGGTGCTTGCACTTTCTCCCCCTTCTTCCCTGAAGATCCTGACCCTTGGGGAAAGGAGTTTGATATAAATGTCCCATTTAGATATTTTACTGAGCACTGCAGTCTTGTTCTCTGCATGTCGACCAGTTGAGGATCTCTGTGCTAATGGTCATCTACTCGAGAAGCTTGTCTGACAGGGCTGGGCAGTGTGCTCATTGACGGGATAGCCGAGAGTGACTAGGGGTTGTTTTTACACTGTATCCATCTGGCAGAACAGTAGTGCCAGGTTCTCCCCTAGGAGCTGTCTAGCCACAGGTTCTGGGCCCGGCCAGCAGTGTCAGGTATGCGGTCCATCTAACGCAGTGGCCATAACTTGTCGGACCATTTCTGATTGTAGTTTTCAGGGTCCACAGTCCGGTGGATGCATAGTACTTCCCAGCAGTCCAGAAGCTAGCCAGGTGGGGTGAAGCTTCCCGTTGAGTACCAGCTAGATCAAGTATGTAGTGTTTCCAGCAATAGGGTCTTACTGTCCATTTCTGAAGAGTAACCAAGAGCCTTAGCAATAGCCTGTACTGTTTGGGGATCTCTGGAGCTCCATTGGCTAACACAGAGTGACCTTCTGTATCTTTTCTGTAGAGGTCATCCAACTTAGGATCCTTAAAGCCTGTAAACACATTAATTTTTGTTTTATTTTGTTTTTCAAAAACAGGGTTTCTCTGTGTAGCTTCAGCAGTCCTAGAACTTATTTTGTAGACCTGGCTGACCTTGAACTCACAGAGATCTGCCTACCTCTGCCACTCCAGTGCTGAGATTAAAGGCCTGCACCCCCTAATTTTTTTTAAAGAAAAAGATAATGGCAGTCTGACATCCAGAGTGACCCCCAGAGTATTAGCATGAGATCACAATTACATAACTACCCAAAACAGTTTTCTCCCTAGTCCTCTAAAAGAAGATGTTGTGGAGAGAGAAAGTTGCCAGGTCCCTCCGTAGCAAGGCAATGGCCCGATGCTTTCTTTCTCCAGATAGATAGTGCTAAAAGCTGTTATAGCCCTACAGATGTGACACCATCTTTCTCACGACTTGTTTGCCTAAAGGGGATAAACACATTAGAAAGGCATGTTGGTGCCCTCTTTGGCCTGGATGTGAGAAGGGGGGGAGTGGCAGCCAAAGTCAGCAGCCATGTTTGCAAACACAGCTGTCATCTGCCTCAACCTTCTCGCCTGGGAGTGGGGGGGGGGGGGGCGGGGGGTTGATTTCCTTCCTTCTTTCCTTCCTTCCTTTCTTTTTTATTTTATTTAATTAATATTTTTCATTTATTTACATACTGACCACAGTTTCCCCTCACGCTTTGATTTTCAATGAAGGGTGACTTTGTGGTCTCAGGAAGCCAAACGTTGACTTTTTTTTTTCTTTCTAAAGATTTATTTCCCTTTGTGTGTGTGTATGCATTTCTGTGTGTTTGCCATGTATGTGTGGGTGCCTGAAGTGGCCAGAGGAGGGTGTCGGGTCTGCTGAACCTGGAGTTACAGATGATTGTGAGCTACTTAACAAGGATGCTGGGAACCAAACTTGGCAAGCACCTCTAACCTCTGAACCATCTCTCCAGCCCTCTTTGTTGTTGTTT